CCCCCCCCCTCCCTTGGTCTTGGACTCATCAGGTGAACTGCCCGTTCTTCTACAAGATCGGCGCTTGCCGCCACGGCGACCGGTGCTCGCGGCAGCACCATAAGCCGCCCTTCAGCCAGACCATCCTGGTGCAGAACCTCTACCAGAATCCGGTGTCGGCGGTGATGGCCGCAGGGGGTGACCCCTCCCAGCTTCCCAAAGATCACGTCCAGGACGATGTGAGTTGTGTGTTTGTGCAGCAGTTGGCGCCCGCGATTGAGAAGCGAACTTGAAGATATGTTGTATGTTTGTACGGCAGTTCGCGCCCGCGATTGAGAAGCAAGCTTGAAGAATTGTTGTATGTTTATACAGCAGTTAGCACCCGCGATTGAGAAGCGAACTTGAAGATATGTTGTATGTTTGTACAGCAGTTAGCGCCCGCGATTGAGAAGCGAGCTTGAAGGTATTGATGCTCAACTTTTCATGACAATAAAAAAAGGAAAATTGGTTTAAGAATCATAGCCCATCCGTGGAGCTGATGTTAAACTCTATATAACGACCTTTGCTCGACGGTGGTGGTGACATAAAGAAATAAGCCTCGGCTCATATTGGCGTTTTCAAAACGTGGACGCTATTTGTGTGTGTATGAAAGGATCCCCTTCGGGAGTTCGTTGACATGCCTCCCGGTGTCGGCGCAAGAGGCCAATGGTGGCCACGGCATGGCCTTGTTTTTTTCCTTTTTTCGCCCGTGAAACTTACTTGGTGGCAAGACTTCCCCCTGCTGACCGGTGTAGTTACTTTGTTACCCCCCCGCTAAACACCCCTATATGTTTTTTTTTTTCCTTGCACTCGTCCCTCCGTTCCGATAGTTTGAGGACTTTTTCGAGGAGGTTTACGAGGAGCTCAGCAAGTTCGGAGAGATTTCCGAGATGAATGTGTGCGACAATCTCGGAGACCACCTTATCGGCAACGTGTACGTAAAGGTGAGCAGCAGGCACAACAGCAGCAGCAGCAGATGTCACGTTTCAATTCCACCCCACTTAAGGTTTCCATTCCAGTGCAAGACTGCGGGCTGTCCCTACCCGTAGATGAGGATGATGTTTTTCAAGGAACCTACAGTTATGTGGTCTGCTTACAGCAATCGAACCATTCGACCGGTCAGCTTGGACGGTATTGTCAGGATGAGATCAGTTTTTTTCAAGCAACCTACAGCAACCGTGTGATTTTCTTAAAGCAACCGAAATCACACGATTAGATCGATCAGCTGACTCGCCTTACAGTAGTAGAAGCTGACTGGCCCAATGGTTTGGTTTCGGTTGCTAAGAGGATTTATCTTGCTGGCCGTACATGTTAGCTGACTTGGCCCAATGGTTTGGTTCGGTTGCCAAGAGGACTCAATTGACTGGCCTTATATGTCAGCTGACTGGGAACCCACATTTTCGGTCGCCTTCTGTTCTTTGTTTCTTGGCAGTTCCTTGACGAAGAAGACGCGGATTCTGCTCTCAAGGGCCTCATGGGAAGGTGGTACGCCGGTCGGCCCATCATGTGCGAGTTCAGCCCTGTGACAGACTTTCGGGAGGCGCGCTGCCGGCAGTTCGATG